CTTCCAACTGGATCCCTCAGCAGCATCCCCTGTCCCCAGTGTACAACCGGTGTGTGATTCCTGAGGGGGAGGTTCTAAAGGTGGCCGGTGTTATTCAGCTAGGGGAGGGGAGATGGTGCGATCTGAAACTCAGCCAGTGGTTTCATCCATTGACCCGCCGAGATATTAAGGCCATCCCATTGCCTCGCCAGAATATTGAGGATATGTTGATCTAGCATGCGACTCCTGATGGAGTTTTTAAGGTTAAATCAGCATACCACATTGTGGTCAACCTGGATCGTCAGAGAGGTCGGTGGAGGGCTCTGGCTAGCTGGATGGATAAGGCTAGTTGGATCCGTTTATGGGAGGCTAATATTCCTCCGAAACTTAAGGTGTTTGTCTTGCAAATCTTCCATAGAATACTACCTACTACGGAGGCCCTTATTGAAAAGAAGGTTGATGTTTTACCTAGATGTCCAGTGTGTTGGGCAGTTTCGGAGACTTTGGAACATATCTTTCTGGATTGTCCGGTTGCTCGTGCCCTTTGGGATCATTCTTGGCTTGCCAACCTTGGAGAAATTGTTGGCTTTGATACATCGGTGAACTTTGTTAATGTCGGTAATTGCTGTACTATGGCGAATATGACAATCTCGTAACTGGGTTGTCTTCGAGGGCAAACATTTCGGGATCCCTGCCTTGATTCGGCAGTTCAACCAGCAGGTTCAGGAATGGATTAGCTTACCGGTGGATCGGGTCCTCCAGGTACCTTGCTCTCATACTTCTCCCTTGGATCCAGAGGGATCGAATGTGGTGATTTGTATGTGGGATGGGGCCGTTAGGAGTGAGTCTCATTCGGAAGTTGGGATGGTTATCATGAGTCCAGATAGAGCGGTTCTCTTAGTTAAGGGGATTCAATTCCCGTTGTTTGATGTACTAAATGATGATTGAGGTGCTTGTTCTCTGTGAGGCTATTGCGTGGTGCTTGGATCACGGCTTTGCTGCAATGAGGTTTGAAGGTGATGCCCAGGTTATCATTGAGAAGATTCTTCGGAGGGATATTAGGGATAATCGAGTGGGGTCGATTCTTGAAGAGGTTGTCCAGTCCTTTGAAGTGAACATGGGCTTTACCATATGATTTGTAGGTCGGCGTAACAATAGGGTAGCTCATTTGGTGGCTCGAAAGACCCTGTCTTTGTACCCGACTACGAGTCGTTTCTTTGATTTTCAGGCCTGGCTGAATTCCAGGATGTAACTATCTATTTGTTTTAATCAATACATGATTATCGTTTGTAAAAACAAAAACTTAACAGTTGTAAAAGGTTATTACGAAAGTCTTACTTCACGGAAGGTGATTTTACGTAATGAATGCTAACGTTGCATTACGTAAAGTGTAAAATCATTACGGAAGCCTTACATAACGCTGGTGATTTAACTATGACGTAAGAGATAACTTTCGTTACTAACCTTTACGCAATGGAATAACCTTTTACGTAATGAGTATTAACCTTGCATTACGTGAAGTGCTAAGTCATTACGGTCTTACGGAAGCCTTACGAATCGCTTCCAATTTAACTGTTACATTAGAAACAACTACCATTCCGTAACCTTCACGTAATGGGTGTGTATTTTACGTAATAGTTGTAAGATGTCTTTACGGAAGCCTTACGTAATGAGTATTAACCTCGCGTGACGTAAAGTGCTAAGTCGTTACAGAAGTCTTATGTAACGCTTCTGATTTAATCGTTACGTAAGAAACAACTATCATTCTTTAACTTTACGTAATGGATGTGTATTTTATTACGTAACAGTTGTAAGATGGTGTTACGGAATCCTTACGCAATTGATAGTTCTTTTACTTAATGAATATTAACCTCGCGTTATGTAAAGTGTAAAGTCATTACGGAAGGCTTACATAACGCTTCCAATTTAACTGTTATGTAAGAAATAACTATCATCTTGTAACCATTACGTGATGAATGTGTATTTTATGGAACATTTGCCAAATGTCGTTACATAAGTAAATTAAAAAAATAATTACCTAAAAAGGTAAATTAAAAAAATTGAATTTAAATTAAAAACATTAATAATGATGTTTGTTTATTTTTAGTAAATAGTTGAAACGAATGAAATAGCACCAAATATTTAACAAATTTATTATTCAAAATATTATCTATTCTTTTTTATAAGATTATTTAAAATTTTCTTATTTATATGACAAAGAAGGTTGTTTCCCAAGGTTGTCAACCCGCGGGTCGACCCAGTTTGACCCTGACCCGGTGAGAAAAATGGGCCCCACGCACCCGCCGGGTCGACCGCTACAAGGTACCGGGTTGGAGGTCAAATTGTGTCTTTTTTTCGTTGGTTTGCAAAATGTGCCTATTTTTTGATTTTTCTTTTCGCCTAACTCAATATTTAGAATTCTAAGTTGAACATTTGAATATTAATGTTATATAAGTGTGTGTGAATTTTCACTATATGTTGGATCTAAGTACGACATCTTATTTTGGTGTAATATTATATGTTATCACTCATATGTTAGATGAGATTTGATATAATTTATCAGGATAAGTACACTATAACGACTCTTTCCATATTTCCGAGCTAAAACGGGTGACCAATTAAGACTTGACCCACTAGTTCGATAGGGTCCGGGTCAGCCCGCGGGTTGACAACCTTGCTGTTTTCCCATTAAAAAATCTTTCCAAAAATGAAATGCTAAAACCTTCCATTACCATCCGGTAAGCCCAATTAGAGGGAAATTTACAAAGTGTACCAGTTGGATCGAGCAAATTAGTCTATATAATGAATAGTTTAGGGCAGGATGGATATTTCGAAAACCACAGGCCAAATAGTCTATGATACCATTTTAAGGTATTAAGCATTTTTAAAAGGCACCATTTTTAAAAGGCACAATTGTGCTACATTTTGGCATTTTCACAAACATGTGGGACCAAAGAAAAATGCATGTGTAATGAATAGGGGAAGGGCCGAGCTAAACTGCTCATTGGTAGGTTATAAATTAACTAAATGGTCTAACTATTCTACCACACCTAATTTAGTACAGTATACTTCCATTAAGTGGTGTAGCATTAGAGATGGCAACTGGATGGGGTGGGTAACTCAAAACTCATACTCGTCATGCACCAAGCACGGGTCAGGTGTGGTAATACTCCCGCAGGTAAGGGTCTTGGCGGATCGACTCTTTCTCACATACTATTTAATGGAAAAAGATGCAAAAAATAATTGTTTTATGATAAAACTATGAAAATAGTTAATGAATGAAAATAGTGAAAATAGAATCAGTAATTGAGTCTAAATAATTGAAAGATCAAGTTTTGCACCTATTTAAAGTTTCATTGGGTGAAAATATAATTGAAATAGGAGAAATCCAAATATATTTTACCTTTAAAATCGTATTCTCGTAGGCCATTATATCAAATAGCACTTCAAAGCTTTTCTAGTGTTTAATCCTTTGATTGATTGGTGAGTGACTCGGTAACACTACAACTCCAAATCATAGTCCAAGTGCAACCAATAAGAGGAACACAATATAGAGGTAACAAGTTTAATTTTCAACCTAGGGTCTCTAAATGTATTACTACTCAGTATTAATATGTTATCTAGCAATCATATTTGAGTGATAGTAATTAAGAACTAAGAAAGCAGTGAGAATTTGATTTGAGTTTTAGTTATCAAAGAGGACACTCAAGTATTAATTCCCCCTAGCCTCTAGCCAGATTAATGGTCATTGACTTCTTCATTTGTTTCACTCAATTTTTATAATGTGGAGAATCCTTAAGTAGTCTTGAATCTCGATTAAAGTAGACAAGCCCCTCTTGAATAGACTGCTTAGAAGGACACTATTCTCCCTGAGACAGAATACCAAAGCAATGCAGATTAGATTCCCTTTATTGGACTGAAGTTTCGTACAAAGAAGTGCATCGATTCAATCTCCTGCAATTGAATCCTTACTTCGAATTGATGATGCCCTATTAACCTATTAAGATATTCTCTTTCCTATATTAAAGCAGAAATAATAAGAATTTGACCAGGATTCAGACAACTCATGAAAAATGCATCAACGGGATATTGTTTGAAGTTTAAAAATCTAGATTCTCAAATAATCATCAATCTAACCATACAAGATAAGAGTTCCTCAAAATCCAAGTGATAAGGGAGTCTACTCCATAGAGAAAGCAAAGAATACAGTAACGAAGTAGAGGAACATCATGATGGTGATGGCATTATGCTTCTGGTCGGTAATCGTCAATTCAAGGATCAAATCTCGAGCTCCAATGGTGATAGAGTCTCTCAAATTAGCTCCAACGGGTGTTCTCTCGTCTCTCTCTCTCTCTTTCAATTTCAGATGCCAAAAGTAGGATCCTTATGAAAATCCAATAGTTGCCATTTTATAACCGTGACTCGACAAAAGCATGGCCAAAAGCACGATCATGCTTTCAGTCATTCCGTTTGTGATTTTTCTACACGCACCCACTACAACAAAAACTAGCTTTTGCAACCAAAATTTTTACAACCAAACTAAAATTGGTTGTGAAAAGGTTAGTATTTACAACCAACTATATTTTGGTAGCTAAAATATTAAAAATTTGGTTGTCTATTAAAGTCAAAGTATTAATAACCAAATAAAACTTGAAGAGACCAAATAATTTGGTAGCAAAATGATTTTTACCTTTTCCAACCAAAATATTTTGGTAGCAAAATTATTTTTAGTTTTTCCAACCAAATAATTTGGTAGCATATTGATTTTTACTTTCTCCAACCAAATATTATTGGTTATGAATTTAAGCAAGAGATTTGAAAATCTTAGATAACTAAAAGATTTGGTTGCAAATCCAATGAAAAAATTCAGCAACTAAATTATTTGGTTGTCAATTTATCAAAGTGTTCTATAAAAATGTAGGTACTATATCTGAAATTATTAAAACTTAGTGGATGTAATAGTAATTATGGAAAACTATTTTTGTCGTTCATTAGCTGCCATTCAAGTGGTCTGCTAAGAGACGAGGTTTTCGACTTGTCGATTCCATTTGATTCCATCCGAGTTCTCCTCCTCCTCTTCTTCTTCCGTCTCCTCGTGTCGATTTCGGATCTGACTCCAGCTTCTCCTCTTCTCCCGTCTCGTCTTTATCGGATTCCCTATTTGCTTCTTTGAGGTCCGGCTACTCCAGTCTGCAGAGGAATCACGATTTTAAAAGCAAGTAAAGAGTTCGCCTGCTTCGTTCGGTAATTCCTCCCTCCCTGTCGATTCTCAGAAGGTAACAGATCCTAGCCTATTTCTAATTTCTATCTAAGCTGAACTAGTTTGAAATTCGGTTGAATCCTATTTTCACTTTTGAGCTCGGTCAAATTCGATCCGCATCCGATTTGTTTTCTAGACGATTCCGGATTGAATCCCTCGCCAGCGTCTGTGAATTCCCCATCGTCGTCGAGACGACTCCGCTTTGACTTTGATTGCGGCCGATTGTGTCGGTGTCGACGACGGCCAAGGAAGAGGAGAAGGCACATACGCCAGCCTAGAGCACGAGCGCCGCTCCAATCCCTCGCCAGCGTTGCTGCGATTTTGATCGCGAGTAGTGCTGCTGCCTAAGGAACCGATGCTTTCTCCTTTGTCTCTCCGATCTCGCCCTTGGTCCGTGCGTCGGGTAAGAACTGATCAGTTATCGATTGAGGTCAATATTCTAATTCTTACTAGAACTGATCGTTGTTATGCTTCGGTGTGATTGTTCGTAGTGTTTTTTCTGAATAAAGTTCGAGGAGCCGTCGAGTGCTTCATCCGGCGCCCTAGAGATTAGGTTAGGTTTTTCTAATTTGCTAGAGCTTAACTTCTTCGTTCTTTGCTCTGGATGGCCAGACCTTGGTGTTAGTTCTTGATTGTAGCACTAGGTGAACAGAATCTTTAAACACATCATTCCATATGCTTGAAACAAAACCTTTTTCAGTTCGTGTTCAGGGGAAATCTGAAAGCAAAGGTACGGTTCCTAAGCAAGGATTCATGGGGAAGGAGCAGCAGTGCCATAGAAGCTGCAATGCCACTGCCTGCAACAAAAGACTGAAGTTTCCACGACACTGCCATTGGTTTAGCAGGTTCTTTTAGTCCATGGGTAAAAATTAATGACTACTAATAGAAGATTAAACACTCAATGGGGAACTCTGTAGTTTTATAAGGTTTTTGCCATTGGATTACCAATTTATAGTCACCATAGTTATGCATTCATTAGTTGTTGTCATGGATTTACAAGGTTGCTCGAGTCCATCCATTTTAAGTTTACATGGTTATATGATTATGTTATTGTTTCGGAAAGTTAAACCTGGAGTACTTACATTACATGGGCCTACTGATGTTAAACCTGGAGTACTTACAACAGTACCACTTCATCATCACAGCACCCTTATGGCAGTGGGAGCTCCCACTGGCAACAGCTCCGTTTCAGACACCACAGCCTCATCGTCGCCCACGTTCAATGTGAGTTTCTAACCCTTCCTGGTTCCTTCAGTTGCTTCTGTGTTTTGGATGTTCTCTTGGATTTGCTTCTGTGGAAGGGGTCTTCATATTCATGCTTCTGTGGATTTGCATTTGTGTTTTCCCCTACAGTTTTTTTTTTGTTTGGATTTTTTATATGTGTCATCGGATTATCTATTCGATGAAAGGGAGCTGTTTTGAGAGTCTCCTTGCATACACCATCATGACAAGCATACCCAGACTTTTTTTGTTTCTCCTTCTATGATCATAGGAGGAGCAGGAAAGTAAAAGCTAGAGATGACGGAAGATGGAAATGACCAAATGTGAGTACAAACAACTTTAACATCCAACATTTCTTTATTGATGTTTCAGGTTTAATTCGGCTGTTTTTACACCTTTCTCCATCCCCTGATAGTTTCCCTTTTCCCGTCAACTGTTTCGATTCTATTGAGTAACCATTAAATGATGGTGAGTAGCCCATTTAGGTATACCTTGCTTATTTGTCCTTCTGGGTTTATCTATTGTGAATGAGCTAATGGTCCTGCATCTTTTAGCTCACCGAACTATTGAACACATAGAAGGAGCTTGATCTCAGAAATGTTGTCTTTATTTTGGAGTTTGGTCGCCTCATGTAGCTTGAGTTCTTGTTTTCACGGCAATGCACCTGTTGTTCTCTTAGCCTGTAATGGGATGGAGTCATGGATATTTGTGCGAACTTGGGTCGCATTGAAAAGCCTAAGGGACTGCTGAATAGTGAGCATAATTATGCAGTTATGGATATATAGTGCGAGGATGATCTGGCATTTAGCTCCTGTGATATTTTTTTAAGATGTCTCTTGTTTGTTCTCTTTGATCAAGTTGTGGACTACCCCTCCATTGCTTGTGAAGAATATATTTCTGGCTGAGATACGCTCTTGGAGTGTTATCTGATTATTTGGACATGCTTCTTTATCCTTTCTTTCATTCTTGTCGGATCCTTTCAGGGAAAAAGTAGGTATGTTGTTTGATCTCTCTGGGGTTTGGTTGTCCAATCAATTAATGCTCAAGTCAAAGGCACGTCCTTTAGCTATCATCTATACGATAGCTGGCTAGTTTCTCCCTCCGCGTTGGCTAGAGAGTCTTATTATGGGAAGTCTTACTAGTTTCTCCCTCTTGCTCCGCGTTGGCTAGTTTCTCCCTCTGGCCATTAAAAGTGTGCCATGAAACTTTCTTTTCTTTTGAACTGATCACTACTGAGATGCAGCAAAATGACTCCAGTTCTAGTGCACCAGACCCTGCTACCGAGGCTTTCCTTGCCAGCACACTACGTTACATTCAGTTCAGAAACAGAAAGGCGGTACAATTGGCGAAAGATACCCTAAGTTAGCTGCTTATATATTGTCTTGAAAAAGATTCTCAGGCAGTAGTCACCCTAAGTTAGCTGGTTATTACCTTATGTTAGTAAAATGGTATTGTTTTCATGAATGTGATTGTCATCCTGTTGGTGGAGCATAAACATGGGAGCCTACTGATTTTGGTTTATTTGTGTATCTGTTTTGTAGTAAAAGCAGTAGGATCTCAAGAGGAGCTTCATGATTTAATGGTGAATCATGAACCGAGATGATCAATCATGAAGCATGGGAACTTAGAAATCTGTAATTCCACTGATTAGTATCGGCAGCAACATCTCTGCATATGGAGGTGACTCTAACAGGTGAGTTATGGATTTGTTTTTCCTCGGATTGGTATGCTATTTACTTGGTGAGACCCATGGATTTGTGATTGTCGAAAATGGTTTTGTTCAATGAAAGTCTTGAACCAACCAGAAGACTAAAGGATTCGATTCCTTTTCCCTTTTTACTTCTTTTTCTAGATAATAAATCTTGATAATTTTATAAATAGTATTTGGTTGAAAACAAATCCCCGGTTGGGCCATCCGAAGCCGGCGATGATTAGGGTTAAGGAATGCACAGAGCAAGACCCTAGGTTGTGCAATTGATTTTGGTCTCTGTTGGAGGAAACTTTGCCTTCTGTGGGTTCTGGTTTTGATTCCTTTTCGTAATGTAAATTTGTATTATCAAGTTACTAATTAGTACTTGAACTTTGCCTCAGCAGCTGCTCAAGGAGTACAAAGGCAAGCTAGCCAAAGTTGCAGGAAGCAACAGTCCTCCAAGGCAATTCTACGTTTATGCCCTCTGTGGCTTCGTCCGAGCTCAGGTATTCTAGCTCCTTGTTTCATATTGATAGGGTATCTGCTTATTTGTATGCTATCTAAGGTAGTTTTGTTGACGGTTGTTAGCTCTTAAAGAATCTAGGTCTTTCATGCTGATAATCTAGGGTTAGGAAACCAGATTATTGTAAAGATCTGGGGGAATGAAATTGTGGTTCCAAAGAGCTTGAAACTGGGAGGACTGTTGCTTTGAAGAAGGTTCATTTTGACTCTTGTTTACTTCCCATCTACCCTGCAGCATATACCTAGTGTTTGAATATATGGAGCATGACATTGCTGGACTGCTTTCTTGCCCGGATGTCAGGTTTGCCAAGTCACAGGTTAGTTCCCATTTTATGTCATTGGTGAAGAAGCTTTTGAATTTTGAAGTTCTAGCATATGTATTAATGTTGTTTGATATGTTTTTATTCTCCCCCTCTGCAGATCAAGTGTTCCAAAGGTGGAATGGCAAATCAAAGATACGTGAAGTAGTTAGTGTGGCCTTTAGGTCCTCTTTTTATTTTTTTGAAATAGTAGGCTGATTCTTAGTGATAATTTGGTGTAATTGTGATTTTGGTTACTAAACAATAAATTGTGAACTATAATTTTAGTTGGTAAACAATTTTGTTATATGAAATAATTTTTTATTATAATTCTATTAATTTTTAATATTTTTATTTTAGTGACCCAAATCTCATCTACCAAATTGGTCATATGAAATGAATTTTTTGGTCGGCGTATGTGTTTTCCGCAACCAATTCTTATGGTAGCATTTAACTTTTATAACCATAAGAATTAGTCGTAACCAATTCCATTGGTCACCAAAATGAGTAGTCGACATATGTATTTTTGACAACCAATTTTTAAGGTTGCGTTAAACTTTCATAACTAATTCCATTGGTCACCAAAATGGTTTAATTGGTTGAGATATATGTTTTTCACGACCAATTGTTATGGTTGTGTTAAACTTTTATAACAAATATAATTAGTCGTCTAAAATGATATAATTGGTCGGGATATGTGTTTTTCACGACCAAATTTCATGGTTGTGTTAAATTTTCGTAACTTAAACAATTGGTTGTTGTAATGATATAATTGGTTGACATATGTTAATTTCCCAACCAAATTGAATGGTCACCTATAAAACGTACGTAAATTCTATTTGCGACCAAAAAAATAGGTTACTAATAGCCACATCAAATTGGTTGTCATTTTTATTTTTCGCGACCAATCAATTATATTTCCCAACCATTAAGTTGGACTATGACAACCAAATTAAAATGGTCGCGAAAAAGTAAGGGTTTTTACCATTGGCGAATTTGGTTGCGAAAGCTTTCTTTTTTGCTACCAATCCACATTTTGGTTGCGCTAGGAATTAGTAACGCGGCTATAGCGACCAATGCTGCTACCAAAATATTTTGGTCGCAAAAATGTATTTATAACCAATTTTTGACTGTTAGGAACCAATTTTATTGGTTGCAAAAAGTCATTTTTCTTGTAGTGACCATTTCATTTACTCTTTGCAATCATTTACTCTTTGCAAGGGAAACAACACGGTGCCGCCACTAGAAAATCGCCGTCTTACTTTTCACAGTAATACCAGTGATTTGCCTCTAGAGTCTTTACCGAGAAGCACGACCGGAAATGTGCGAATCATGGTCGGGATTCTGGGATGCGATGACCGTGATTTTTACATGAAATGCACGAGTGGTCCTTAGGGAATCACGACCGTGATTTTGCTTGGTCGAGCTGTGATTTCCATGGGTGACCAGATAGGGTTCTAACACCTTAAGTGTTAATTAGTATCATGCTAATATAATCCATTAAGGGTATTATAGTAACTGCAAACTCATAACAACTTCTTCCTTTTCCCCATGCACCCGTTGCTCTCAGCCGTCTTCCCTCTCCCTCTCCCTCTCCCCCACCTCCACTTCTCTCTCTATGTAAAAAAACTCACGAAGTTACTTATAATATAATTTTTTTTTTTGATAAATAACTTATGGTATGCTTCAGGAAACTTGTGGTAAACTTTATGAGGTTTATGGTATGTTTAAGAAAACTTGTGTTCCACTTTATGAGGTTATTGGTATTGCTTGAAGAAACTTGTGGTCAACGTTATGAGGTTTCTGGTATACTTCAAGAAACTTGTGGTCGGCTATATGAGGTTTCTAGTATGTTTTCGGGAAATTGTGATCGGCTTTATAAGGTTTCTAGTCTACTTCAAGGAACTTGTGACCAACTTTGAGTTTCATGGTATGCTTTTGAGTTGCCTGTAGCTCGTGTCAGTACCATTCTCATACATTGGGTGTTAGCACCAAGATTGTCAAACCAATTTATACCACTATGTTGGTTTAGCAATTGGTACTGTTTGATCAGGGTACAACCAATTTATGCCGCTTTAACAAAATAAGTATAAATGTATAAAATCATTAACAATTTAAGCAATATATATAACATATTTGAAGAAAATCTACTTACAATTTACATTTATATTGAAATAAAATACAAGATTCTAAGCAAACTAACAAATACTTATATTTAAATACAACATTAAACGTCAATACACAAACGTTTATACTTGAGTTCAATAAATAATATCAACAATTAACTTTCAATTTTATGAAATAAATACTTTTTTTTTCATTCAATAAAACAACGACAATTTGTTTAGAAGTCGAAAATCGATCATATTAGACATACCAGTAGTATTCCAGCCAGTTTAATGAGAGTTGTGGTGTGGTTGCACATATTTATGGTCTGCTTCACGGAACTTGTGGTCAGCTTTAAGAGGTTTCTAGTCTGCTTCACGGAACTTGTGGTCAGCTTTACAAGGGTTCTAACCTGCTTAAGGGAACTTGTGGTAAGGTTTATGAGGTTTCTGGTCTGTTTAAGAGAATTTGTGGTCCACTTTATGAGGTTTCTGATATGCTTGAAGAAACTTGTGATCAGGTTTATGAGATTTCTGGTCTGCTTCAAAAAACTTCTGGTAGACTTTAAGCATTATAGAAAATATGTTTCATGAAAATCTACTCACAATCTACATTTATATTAAAGTAAAATACAAGATTCCAAGCAAACTAACAAATACAATACTTATATTTAAATACAATATTTCAGGTTAACATTTTTACTTGAATTCAACATATAATATCAACCTTTTTAACTTTCAAGTTTATATGAAATAGATTATTTTTTTCTCACTAAAACAGAGCCAATTTGTGTAGAAGTCCAAAATCGATCATACCTAAACACACCAATGATGTTCCAGCCGGTTTCAATACCAAACCGGGCCTAATCTTTGCCGAAAAGTTTGCAGTACGAGGTTGTACCTGAATGTAGGAGATCGCAGCTCTTAAACCCCAAAGTATCATCTTTCAAAATGGGGAAAACTCCTTAAACCCTCCGTGCTCTACTCTAAAACTCCACTGTTCCTTCCCTTCCCTTCTCTTCCTCCATTTGAACCACCGCTTGTTCGTTTGATGTCTGCCGTCGCAGCCAGAGCTAATCCTCTTCTCAAGTCTTTCCCTCCCTTCCTAACATGGCCCCACCTCCGCTTCCGCACCATCTGCAGCGGCCGCCTCGGCTTTGCCCCCTCCGATCCCGACCACCCAGTCGCCGGAACCAAGCTCCTCGAATCCTTCAAGGAGGAATTCGAGGTTGGCACCAGCCTGATAACCCTCGAAACCGGCAAAATCGCCAGATTTGCTAATGGCGCCGTCGTTTTAGGCACAGGAGAAACCAAAGTTCTTTCCACCGTCGCCGCCTCCAAAGGCGACGCCCTCCGCGACTTCCTGCCCCTCACTGTAACGTTCTCTGCCCTAATTCTCTCTTCTATCAATTTGGTGCTCTGTTTGTTTGTTGTTTTTCCTGCTCGAGTTTGGCGCCAACGCCAGCTGGAGTAAAGCCACTGAATTTCAATTTGGTAATGGATGTGTGAATTCTAGGTTGATTATCAAGAGAAACAGTTTGCACAAAGTTTAATTCCCACTACCTTCATGAGAAGGGAAGGTGCTCCAAAAGAAAGGGAGCTTTTATGTGGCCGTCTTATTGATCGACCGATTCGTCCGCTATTTCCTCCTGGTTTTTATCATGAGGTTCAGGTATTAATTGTTACCATGAACCTTAATTGCTCATGTCTCTTTCTTTGGCCCCCCTGGACCTGTTTGAGTGAAAATTTTGCTGTTTATTTCTGTTTGTGGACAGGTGACGGCAAGTGTTCTTTCGTCCGACGGAAGACATGATCCGGATGTAATGGCAGCTAATGCGACATCTGCTGCACTGATGTTATCTGATATTCCTTGGGGAGGTCCCATTGGGATGATACGAATTGGGAGAATTGATGGGCACTTCATTGTTAATCCCACAATGGAAGAGGTCATTCTCTAAATTTGGTTACTGGTAGTGTGAGTATAGGATGTCGTGAGTGAATCTAATGTGCTAGATGGAATTTTTTGGGTGTGATGCAGCTGATCTTAAGTGATCTCAACTTAGTGTATGCATGTACCAAGGATAAAACTTTAATGATTGACGTTCAAGCTCGTGAGATCACAGAGAAAGATCTTGAAGCTGGATTGAGAATGGCTCATCCTGAGGTAAGTGGTTGCATTCCTTATCTGTCTCTGTGTTGGGTTTGATGGGAATGTAATTAGATGTTGGAATCTGCTTTCCAGGCAGTGAAGTACCTTGAACCCCAAATCAGACTAGCGGCAAAAGCTGGAAAACAGAAAAAGGAGTATTCACTATCTATGTTGTCACAAAAGACATTGGAAAAAGTTGGTGCATTGGCAGAAGCCAAAATTGGAGCTGTCTTTACTGATCCTTCTTATGGAAAGGTACTTACTTGAGTTGTCTTTTGAATAAGCACAGTTGATATCATGGGTCCTTTCCTGCTCCCTTGCTCAAGCATCAGTGTACTGATCTTAATTGCATATATCCTTTGTTGGCCTATCTAGTTTGAACGTGGAGAAGCCTTAGAGAATATCATGCAAGATGTAAAACAACAACTTGAAGAGGAAGGTGACGAGGAAAGCATAAAAATTCTTCCGAAGGCAATAGACACAGTGAGAAAACAGGTAAATTATCTGCTGGAAAAACTAGTAATTTGTTCTCCCTAATTTATCGCATTGTTTCTCGGCCTGAACAAACCTTTGGTTATAAGACTTTCTTTGTTCATATTTTCTTGTTATATGTATGTGTTCTAAGCTTTTTTAAGGAATTTT